AAAAAAAAAAAAAAGGTCATAGTGCCAATAAAAGTAGTTTTAATATTTACGTGCAGCGTATTCTTTCTACTAAGAATGCAAGTGCTTTTTAACGAGAGCTTTTTTGAGTTATCTGGGTACCCTGAACATCTGCCAGCAACTATGATGCTTACTTCACAACCATATCATTTACATTTTGGTTTTCAATGTTAAACGCTGCGTATAACACAAACCAAACCGACGCTGGCGACAGATTCATGCTCTGGAGTTTTTAAGAGGAGAAATGTGCTGCAGTGCTCATGAGTATTGATACAGCAATGAGCAGAACATACAGGAAAAGCCACAAAAACAAGTTCCTGGTAAATTTGTACAAAGAACAGCATGGAGTGAAACCGTGTGTGTGTTTCCAATCAGCTCTGGAGTTTTTAAGAGGAGAAATGTGCTGCAGTGCTCATGAGTATTGATACAGCAATGAGCAGAACATACAGGAAAAGCCACAAAAACAAGTTCCTGGTAAATTTGTACAAAGAACAGCATGGAGTGAAACCGTGTGTGTGTGTTTCCAATCATGTGCCACATCAATCCTCATAACGTACCAATAATGTGTCCCACTCATGTAAACTCACGTTTCCACTTCATGTGAAACAAGTGTATTTTCTTGTAAATGAATATTCATTTCCTTTCTTTCCTGTACAGCATATGATTGCCATCATATTTAGTGACTAAATATAGCATTAAATGCTGACTTTTAGAATAAAAAATGAATTTAAAGTTACAATTTTTTTTTTGCAAAATTAAATACATTTTTTGACAATATTTGATGCTTATAAATATTTGTGTTATTTTCTAATATAGCAATATGATTTTTGAGAAAAATAATGAATTAATAAAAATAATAACGAAGCAGCTGATACTAAATATGCATGCTAGTAAATTTACAATCTTCTAATGTTTAAGGTTTTATTTTTTTAACATTTTTTATACTCCATACTAAATATTATAAACATTAACAAAAAGTATAAATTTATTTTCATTAATAAATTATAATAAATGTTAATTTGATATATTTTGTAATTAATAATTATATTAAAATCCATTAAGAAGTACAGTAAGTTACAATGAATGTGCAATATTGCAACATTTTGTAAAATTTTTAAAATATTTAAAAAAAGATTTAATATTTTGGAATCACACGAGTGCTGAGAAAACAATTTAATAATAGGAATTTGAATAATGTTTAAAAGAAAATTTCAAGAGAATTAGCTATAATGATAATATATGTATCTTGAGCTCTAATATATTCATTAAAATATGACTGTATACTGTATTATTGCAGTTGTATTTGGTGACTAATTATATAAATAAATGCATATGTTAGAAAAATAAATTAATATTTTTAAGCAAAATTGTCTAAATATATTTGATACTTCTAAATATGTTTGTTACATTTATTTATTTTTCTAATATGACACTATATGATTATTGAGAAAATAGCTTGCAAATAATAAATTAATAAAAATAATGAAGAAAAAAGCAGTAGTTAAAACTAAATGTATATCCTAGTAAATTTACAGTCCTCTAATGTTTTTAACATGTATTTAAGCGTTACAATAAAATATGCAATATTGCAACTTTTAAACCATTTTATGAATATATTTTAACAATATTCAAATTAAAACGCATAATATAGAAACAACTAAATGCTAAAAGTAATTGTGTATCCTAGTAAATTTACGATCTTCTAATGTTTTAAAATTGTATTTTTAATATTTTTTAAAACGTTTGTTTAATAAGATGTGCAAAAGTTTATAAATATTTTAGCAATATTTAAAAAAAATCACAGAGAAGCAGATATTATAATATATGTATTTCTAAAAATATATTCGCTCCCTCTTATGATACGTTGCAGTGTCGCCTGACAACAGAGGGGCGCTACACATTCCAGCGCATTGAGAATCTGCGCCGAGTAAATTTCAAAATAAAAGTCCCTCATGAAGCATAATGAATCGCCCCGCCCACAAACCCAAAGACATTTTACTCTGAACTGTGTCAACACAACTGTTAGGCAATAAAATCTTCAAATATTTACCGACGCCTCGTAATACTAAATCCAAAAGGAAACTATACGGATACGCGAAGGTGTGTCTCCTTTCGCAACCGGAAGCGCTGCGGTGTGTGAGTGTGTGTTAACACGTCGTCAGTCCAGAGGAACTCATGAATGAAGCAGGCCGAGAAGTTTTCGCTCAGAAACACTCGGGATTTGTCCGGATCCTGGATGTGGATGGTTTAATTCCTGTCCGAAGGCTTCATCGATACATGTTCGGCGCGGGAGCCCGTCTGGAGAAGTCTGAGCGGCTGTTTTAGGGAGTTTTGAAGCGCTGGTGGAAAATGCCTCTGTTTCCAAGGAGGTACTGAGACATGATGCTCAAACATCACAATAACACTTAAACATAACATCTCTAACGTCAGAGTCACTTTTAATGCAACACTCTCGGACAGCTCTTTAACACTGGCATGAAGCATTTCACAATTAGATTCTTTTAGTTAAAAAAATTCATATCTTCTGCCTGCTTTTATGTCAAATTACTTATGTAGGCTATCAATACTGCTTTCAAATACATGCTGTTCATTTGAACTTTCTGTTTATCAAAGAATTTTGAAAAAAACAATAATTGATGATAATTTTGCAGCAAAGCGGCATATTAGAATGATGGCTGAAGGATCACGTGACACTGAAGACTGGAGTAATGATGCTGAAAATCCAGCTTTGATCACAGAAATAAATTACATTTTAAAACATATTCACATAGAAAACCTTTATTGTAAATTGTAATAATATTTCACAATTTTACTGTATTTTTTATCAAATTAATGCAGCCTTGGTGAGCATAAGAGACTTCTTTCAGCACATAAGATATAATTTTTTTTACAGCCCCCCCCCCTATTTATGTCCACTGTATTTTTTTTTTTTTACCACATTTACTATGTATTTTTTTACCACCACCTATATAGTTGAGCTCCAGTTTTAAGTGATTTAATCTGCTAGAAAGTTTTTTTTAAAGAGGGGAAAAAAAAAAAGAGTATTCAGTAAGCTGGGAGAGCCGTGGAAATTCACTGATCAGAAGGTGTGGAAACTGTTTGCTGAATGAAGTCTTTCAGAGACGCTTGTTGAAGTCTGTTAATTACAAAGCTTTGAATTCACATTGTGACGCATTCCTGGTTTAATGAAGCACTCAACTCGTCTAATGGGAGGTGTCGGGTAACACAGGTGGAACAGGGGTTAGTTTGTGGCGTCCTGAGCTCTGAACACAGAGCCGTTCTGTTGGAATGGGATCAGACCTGCTGGATTCCAGGAATGCCGAATTCACGCGACACACAGGAGTGCTTCTGTGACAGGAGCGCTGAATTATGCAGTTACACCTGATTTCTTTTCTACAGACTCCTGTGTTGCATTTCGAGCAGGTTTGCAGATGTGTGACAGTTTTGATTTCCTCCTTTGTTTTGGTTCAGTAAAGATAAGTGGACATGTGTACTGTAGCGAGAGTAATGTATGATATTGACTCCTCAGTTTGTGTTGGTGTGCGGCGCTGTGCGTTCTGCCGTCTGTGTTTGCCGACGCTGAAGACGCTTCGCTGCTGGGCGGCTGGCAGGATGTGTGGCTCTTCCGCTTGTTCCTCAATGTTTTGGGCTACGCCACCATCATCATCCCTGGATATTTCCTTATCAGCTACTTCAAACGAATCAACTATCTAGAAACAGGTTTGTTGAAGTAAACCCTGAGCACACTGTCGTGTCCAGTCAAAAGTTTATTTTTCCCTCTTATGTCCAATGTGATTTTTTTCTACCACTCATTATGTCCACTATAATATTTTTACCACTTATTTTTTCCTACTTATGTCCATTGTATTTTGTAAAAAATTTTCCTAGCTATGTCCACTATATTTTTTATTTTTTACTGCTTATTTTTTCCTACTTGTGTCAAAAATTATATATTTTTTACCTGTTATTTTTGAAACTTATGTCTGCCATAATTAATTTTTCCCTCTTTTTTCCTATTTATGTCCCCTGTAATTTTCCCCCCACTTATTTAATCCTACATTTAAAAAATATTTTTTACCAGTTATTTTTCCAACTTATGTACACTATAATTTTTTCACCTCTTCTTTTTTTCCAAGTTATGTCCAATATATATATATATATATATATATTAGTGCTGTCAAACGATTTTTGTTTACATAATATATGTATGTGTGCTGTATATTTATTATGTATTTGTAAATACACACACATGCATGTATATATTTAAGAAAAATAGGTTATTTATTTATAATATAAATTATATGAATATAAATATAGACGATCG